TCCTGCTGTATGGAGTGGAAGCGTATGCTTAAACTCTTGACAGCCTTTGAGATGTGAGTATACAGACGACTACTGAAAATAAGCTGGGTCGATAGAGTTAGAAATAAGGAGGTCTTTAGACGGCTGAGCCAAACAACACAACTGGTCAATATAATAAAGAAACGCAAGCTGGAATACTTCGGTCGCATTAGGAGACACCCTGAATATATATATATATATATATATATATATATATATATATATATATATATATGAAAAATATGATCTTTTACATCTGATCATTCAGGGAAAGATCCAAGGTAATCGTGGTCCTGGTATACGAAGAACATCATGACTGAAAACTCTAAGGCAATGGTATGGAAAATTAACTACATCGTTATTTAGAGCTGCTGTCAATAAAGTCACGATAGCGAATATGGTAGCCAACATGATATCCAACGATCGATAACGGTCTTATGAAACTAGAAGAAGAAGATAGATCGGTTTAAAACATTCTCCTACGTCTTCCGATGCCCAATTGCCACTCCTCTCTATTCCTCCATAAGTCTTCTTCTACGTCTCTGTCTTTCATTTTTCTATTGATGTCTTCTCTCCAACTAAGGCGGGGTCTTTCTTTTTTTTCTACTGTAAGGGGTCCACATTAACACTTGTTTTGGGAGACGTTCTTCAGACATTTTCTGTACATGACCGTACCGTCTGTTTGTTGTTGTTAAACAAAAACTTCAATGTGAACATAACTTTGTTTTTTTTTGGTATTTCTCGTTTCCACTGATACTTATTTACCAATGGCTTTCGCCCTTGACTGGTTCAATAATAATGTTATTCATGTTTTCAATGTTTAATTATTGTTTGTTTTCATGAGCACTAATTCATAACATATGCTCACCACGTGTGCTCTTAATGTGAGTACAAAGTATTAACGAGATACCAGTGACAATACGAAACAGCGAAAACACGACAGCACGTGACTAAGAAGTCGCATCCAGATTGGTTAAAGGTAAATGTCTGCCTCTGCACCTAACAAGTGTACACAAATGTCTGTTTTTGTATCTGGCTAAATTTCAACTGTGAGTGATGCCATTCAAATGTCTGTTTATGAATATAAGGGTCAGAAAAACGGATTCCTATCAATGTTTACATATGGAATCCATATGTAAATATCCATCCATTAAAAAATGAGCTATAATTTTTTAAAAAATGTCAAATGTCTGGTTTTGCTTTTATATGCTTAATTTGTATTTAATAACCTCGAAAATTTTACAACCAATAGGAAAGTTCATAACTTAAATACTAGATATAAAGATACTTTACGTGCCCAATATACAGGGGAAATATATATTTCAGGTCTCCCAGCAGGACAAAAACTTTTTAATATACTACCAATGCATATAAAATTGCGTAAGAGCATGACAAGTTTTAAACTAAATTTAAAGGAATTTTTGACTGCTCACATTTTCTATCAATTGAAGATTTTTTTTTTAATTTTAAATATTACTCATTTTGTTGTTAGTTTGCGCAGCGTGTTTGTTTATTTGTTTGTTTTATTTAATTAATTGATAAATTCTACATAAACTATGTTTGTGTAAAAGGAAATAAAGTATTTATTTATTTTAAAATGTCTAAAATACGATAAGTCAGTAAGGTAATACTTTGAAAATAAATTTAGTCATAGTTCAAAATAATTCTTGTGGTTCCGTACTTTAATAATAATTATTTTTTTTACAAATAATTTGTTAAAAAAAAATCGATCAATAAATTGTATAGTCTTTAAGCGCTATAACGTGTAGGTTTCCAAATATTTCTTTTTAATCTATTCCCGTTATTGGCTACCACTAAAACCCTTCTCAAGTTTTGGAATGATGAAAAGATCCCTAGCGACTGGAAAACCGGGATTATATGCCCAATATATAAAAAAGGAATAAACTAGAATGCGAAAATTTTCGCAGCATAACCCTCTTGTGCAAAGCTTACAAAGTTTTCGACAAGGAAGATCTACAATTGACCAGCTATTCAAAGCGAAACAAATTCTAAATAAATCACGGGAATACGACATTGACGTACGCAACATTTTTTTTAACACCCAATGTTTATTGCAATCATTCTCATTAAAAAACAATAAGCAATATGTATAATTTATGTATAATAAAGACGTATAATGTTATCCATTTAAGTAATATTTAATATAATAATTAATTTAAACTTCAACTTAACAAAGTTTAATACAAAGAAACAACACTGACAACACATATGAGTATTACAAGTTAAAAAAAAATCAAAAAAAGCTTTAGAAAGCATAAGAATAAAAACTTGTTATTTCCCACACTATGATACTATGCTCTGTTTCTTCAGATTAACTAGAGGATCAAAAGATCTGGTCGTTTTAATCTTCTTACGTGTGAAATGTTGAGCAGATCCGTGGCCAGCGGATTTTGATGACTGGATAGTCTGGACTTGCAGAGTTTACAGCAGATATTGCTTCGCTAACTGTTGGTACCTGTAGATAATAATAATATAGCAGGGGCATTGCAGATCTGGCACCTTCGACAATCTTCGATTGGAATCGTTAAAGTTTTTGTATATTGGTATTACTTGATGTACCCCTGATTTGTGCTGCGTATAGCCATATCGGTTCTAAAATACATTTATAAATCAGAAGTTTGTTCTCCAGACTCGGGTTTGATTTTCGATTCATGTAAAAATACATTTTCCTGTATTTTACACAATATCGTAGATTGTTCTACACAACATATTTATAGATTTGTATATATGTATTTTATAGTAAAAGCAACAATTGACTCGTCAACAGAAACTGTCAGAGTACATAGTGAGGTGTCTCTCGAATATATGCAAAACAAATTAGCAAAAATATTCACAATTAAAAACAGAGGCAAAAGAGACCGAATGAAAAATAAATTTTTAAAGTGAAAATGATAACACAGGCAAGAGCTAGAAGAAATATAGACAAGGAAAAAACGATATTTTTGCGACACTGAACTGGACAGAAAAACGATAGTTGTTTTAAATAGTATGGACCTATGTAACAAGAACCTATATGTTCCATGGATTCGACTTTTTGGACTAAATTAGTTATTAACAAAATAAGGTCAAAAACAGTAAATTTTCACTCGTTTCGTCTATCGGCAAAACGTAAAGTAATTAAAATAAATTTAAAAGTATGTAATACAGTTTTAAGTTATATAAAAACCTTTAAAATGAAGTTTTTTAATTGTTTCTATCATTATTTGTTCCTTAGAAAGTTGCACAACAAGTCAGAAATTCCGGTCCTTTATGTTTGTTAATCACTTTTTAAAAAATAAACTTAGAACCTTCATGTTACATAAAATATTGATCCTTGTAGTGGTTAAATTTCAAAGCGATCGGTAAAATAGTTTAAAAGTTATTCAATTTGTTTTTCAAATTACATTGTTTGCAACAGTAAGTCAGACAATAATGAAGTTACAATAGTTCTACAAATAGCTTATGAAAGAAGAATATTTCTTCTATTAATATTAATAAAAAAAATACATAAGAAAAATTTTTTTTTGTTTATTTATTGCCAAATTATTTTTCTAAAACATCGGAATCGTCCACAAAGCTTCAAAATGTAGGCCTCAAAATTATTCAATTAAATTATCCATTATATATATATATATATATATATATATATATATATATATATATTATATATATATATTATATATATATATATATATATATATATAATATATTCGGAAAGATTTCCGCGGTTAGTACAATAAAAACTAGAGCTAAGATTAATATTATTACTAAAATTAATATCAAACTCACCAGTCTTCCGGGTTGAACCGCGTCGAACGCGGTTCAACCGGAAGACTGGTGGGTTTGATATTAATTTTAGTAATAATATTAATCTTAGCTCTAGTTTTATATATATATATATATATATATATATATATATATATATACACACATACGTTTGGCCGAGTCGGTTTTGCCGAGATGTACAGAAACACTATTGTGACTTTTGGTCTAGCTTTCGGAATTGTTTTATTCCTTTGTTTTATTCCTCCTAATAATTATTAATTGCTTTTAAGACACTAACAAAAAGAATATGTAAATATTTATAATATATTACAATTCGTCAGTGCAATTTACTAGTCGTTGAGATTATTTATATAAAGCTTTGACACTAAACATTAACAACACACATATAAAATATAACATATAAATAATATAATAAATAAACAAAATACATCTTTTAATGGTGTGTTTTAACTCTGATCCATAGAGAACATGTTTTGCATCTAGGTGTATTATGGTGTGTGTATATGTAAAAGTAAATCTTTATTTAATTTTTGATGTTTTGTCAGTAAATTCCAATAGATGTTGCTCAGTTTATCTATGTCAGACTTTTTATTTATACACGACGTATTGGAGTTTATGAAACACATTTCCAAAAAACACGTTTTGAATGGTTTTTTCCTTTGCCAAAATACAGAAATCCTCAAAACTAAATTCATGTTTTAACGTTAATGCATGTTCTGTGAGCGCACATGCATTTATTGTTTTGGTTATTATGTCACTACGATGTGAGATCACCCTACTGTGAAAATTATGAGATGATTCTCCGATATACACGTTGTTACAATTGGCACACGGTATTGAATAAACAACATTCGATGACCCTGTATTGTGATAGGATCCTTAGTCTTTCTGTACAACTTCGATACCGTTTTCACATTCTTAGTTGCAATTTTTAAGCCACTAACATTTTTGAAAATGTTCATTAGCTTAGGTATCAGAACTGGAATATAGGGTAGGAAACCACACGTTATTATAGATTGTGGTAGCAACCTAAGCTGAGTTTTTTATTATTGTCTATAATGAGGGCACAAACAATTTTATTTCATAAGTGGTTTCTACACTGTATAATAGAGGACAAGAAATTTTGGTTAATTCAGTTCAATTATGTATTAAACAATATTAGATAATATATTTACAACATATGTCTGCTATTTCAGATCCCAGAACTTCTCCGTCGGTATCCAATTCAAGATCACAAAGACTTTCCTATGCCCTTAGATATGGTATATTTCTGCCAACCTGAGGGTTGTTCTTCTGTCGGGCCTAGAAGAACAGCCCTACGAGAAGCTTCTTCATTTGTATTTACTCTAACAGACAAGGATTCGGGAAAAACGAGATATGGAATATGTGTTAATTTTTATAGGCCCATTGAAAAGACGCCAGCCAACTTAAACGTTGGAAAGGGAAGGACAAACACGAACCTAAGAAGGGATTCTTGGAGAAAAAGTATGGAAAAGAGTTCGGATTCTGCATTTTCCAGGTAATTTTTTTATTTTTCTTTGTACTTAAAGCTCCCAAACTATTTTGATATGTCTTCTCACGTTTGTTTACATTTGTATCTTTAAGTCTTCAATTATAAATACTTCAGTTCTGACTCTTGTTTTTAAATAACCATTTAATTTCAGTGACTATAGAAGCAGTAATGTTGGCCCTAGTGACTCGGAGAAGGATTGTCCAAGTAGAAGAGATTCTGAGTCAACAACAGGGAATCTTCCTCGATTGGGCGTAATACCAGCTAATGATTCGGAAAGCGGTGGCAGTCATTCTCCATCTCCTAGAGCTAGTCGGCGGAGACAAGTAAGATTTGAATAATATTTAAAAAGTTTAAATACCTATTATTATTTTTAGACTAGCAACTGACACAAGACTTACTATTAACGTTTTTGATGATTGTCCTTTGTCTTGTGTTGTGTAAATGTATCAGTTAATGTTTATGATATTTACCATATTGTTGGGTAGCCCAATTTTGACGAAATGGTCCTGAAAATGGTCTGAGAGCGAAAGTACTTGGTCACGATTTAATAAAACTCTGTTCGATATCTGCCTTTTATTTTATTAAAATAATTTATTAACGATTTGTCCACCAATTAGGATTTAGCTAAAGAAAAGATAACAATGATATATGAGGCCATTATTTCCAAAACTTGCTCTTTGCTCGAAAGTCATTTTTTGGGAAATCGAAAAAAAAACGAAATAGAAATTAGAAGTTTCTAGCCTAAAATTTTAAAGATTAAAAAAAATGTTTATTGCAAAAAACTAGTGCAATATAAAATAATAACAAACCGTATTTAGTTCAATACAATACATAAGGTATTTATTCATGAAAATAACACTTTAAGATTTATAGTCATATAAAGAAAATGTTTAAACGAAAAAAAAAGAAATTAAAAGCAGTCTTAATCAGTCATACTCAAACAATAAAAAGAGTAATTTTCTATATTTTGGCAATTTTCCAAACCATCAACGATTTTTTCTGGTGGGGAAAAATCTGTCTTCAAGCGTTCTTGGGAGCCATTGAGGAAAGAGAATCTTTTTTAGCAAACATCGTTGCCTCTTTTTGTAAAAAATAAACCGCCTTGCCTTATTCAATTAAAAATTGACATTAACTAGGCAACTTAATACCTCGTTTTGTTTATGTTTTTTTAATAAATCTAATTAAACACATTCCAATCCATACCGATATTTCGTACACTAGAATGTTTTCTGATTAAATCGTTGTAGCCACTAATTTTCACGATAACAGACTTTTTTTTATTGTCTTTTTCTATAAGGCCAAAAATATAATCAGACGGAATAAAGGAATGACCGACGATCGGAAAAATTAATTCAGTTTGTTCAATATCATTCGGCGATTCTTCTAGAAGTCAATAGTTAAGCCAACATTGCCATCATATATGAATTTTTGTTTTGTCCGTCGCAACCAGCGAACAAACGTACTATTTTTATGTTGACATCAAAATCAAAATTGTTTAGAGCATGTTCCAAAGGTGGCGCTATTGTATTAGAGTCTTTTCGAGAGTCAATTTCTGTCCACACGCAAGAAAATACATTTGTTGGTTTGGCAGTCAAATGAAAAGTAAGTTGTGTTGGGATTTGGATTTTTAGGGAGTTTCAAAAAAAGCCTTTACTGGTACGATATGAACGCGATGCTTAGTGGCTAATTTTTGCCGAACAGCTAAAGAAGTTCACCGTCAGCTAAAGAAATCAGTCACCGGAGTTCCAAAAACGATCCTGTGGTTAACATTCACATACTTTCGAAAATAACTCAGCTTCATGTGCAAGGCATGGCAAGTAGACCCACACGCTTGTCTTGCTTCAACAGTAATAAGACTCTGTACATGTTATGGATTCTATAAATTTTTGAAGTTATACTTCTATACGCACGGTCAGAGTTGGAAATTTGCATGAGAGTGAATCTCTGAAAACATTACATATGTAAGATAATGAGTAAAAGAGAGACAGAAGATATATTTTCTCTCTCTTATAGAATTACATATGTAATGATTGTGCAGATTGACTCCCATATAAATTTTTAACGCCGAACGCGTGTATAGAAGTATAACTTCTACCGGCAGTCCCACTGAACTGCCACACCTGTTTTTTTTATTGTTTCTTTTTTTATCATTTTTTTGACCGATTCTATTGCAATCTCTCTTGCTACTTGCTCTCTTGCTTAAATTTGTGATTCCTAGAAACGATTTGGCACATACTCTAATTATCTTACTGTAACAAGAACGTTACTTTAATATTTCGTAAACATTTTTAAATAAATTTTAGAATCCCGATCCTCCCGAAAACTATCAGCCATTTTATCTTCTATAATATCGTCACTTTTTCTCCGATAGTGCAATATCTATCTATCATTTCTCACATTATTTCCTTAAGAACCATTCTGGATTTATATATAATACTGTTATAAAATCATACCAATTTTCTATTTTATTTTCCAGCTTTAAAAACATATGATTATCCATCGTTAGATTATCTATTATCTATTAAGACTATCTGTAAAAATATTCCGCCTTATACCGTCCTTTTATATTCAAAAATATATCCGTGTATCAAAAATATTTCCTTAAAATTATCGATTTCATCAATTAATTTTACATCAAATAGTGTTAGACTTTTTTTGCTAAACTTTTTGTCATATTTTTTCCCATCTTTTTATTAAGTGTAAGAAGGAATTGTAACACAAGTGTTGTTTTTAGCCTACCCCCAAGAAGTTAAATCCTGAATCAAGGATTTCATTTTATTTAATTTTGTTGGGGAAATAAATTACACTCAGAAAAGAGATTACGTTAGAATTTGTCATTTGCCGACTGATCCATCAGTGGTCCAGAGCTCTCCCGACTACTATTGGACCAATTCCGGATATCAGCTGAAAGACCTCCCTTATTTAGAGGGTGGAACCTTCTTAATTTCTATATTGTTTTTTTTACGAATTTAATAATTTTGGTCATATTTTTCTTTTAATTATAAACATTATTATTTCACTTAATAATAAAGACTTGTCATTTTTTTCTAAATAATTATAAACCACATAAGTATTAATTTTTTTACGTTCAGGTTGAGGTTTTAAATCCTCCCTTGTAACTCGGTTGTACGATTTTTTGTGTACACATTTAATCAGAGAGTTATTTGTTTTTTAGATTTTATTATCATTATATATTCAAACGTTTGGACACTTATCTCGTCAAGATAGTGTCCTTATTACTTTTTATTATTATATTCAATTAAGCCGGAATACAGAGTTGCATCTCTGAGGCAAATAAATTACCTTTCTAGGTCAATTATTACCATTTTTGTTTCCATATTTTGTTATTTGTAAATTTAGATCTTCCAGGATCAGTTGTATAACCAGGGCATTTATTTTTTTGTATATAACTAGATTAGCTGTACATAATTGGTGGTGGGTATATTAAAATATATTTATATTGTACATATTTGGCTAGGAATTAAAGTTTTGGTGAAAACTAAATATTTCAATTCATACCTAGATCCTTTTTTTTATTTCAGCAACTAGCTTTACAAGATATCTTGGAGAGGTTATGTAAATACTTTCCTGGCGCCCACTCACATTTTGGAGCAACTTCTATAACCATTTTTATTTATCTTAGTTATACACCTATAGTTTTTTTATTACCTTGTCATTCATTTTCTAATTCTACGGTCTCTGTAGGGCATGCAAATTGGCCGAATTCTCCTTTGAGTGCCAAGTATTCACTCTCCGGCACCTTCTGCTAGCCAGCTTAAATTATACGTTATCCTTGCCATTATCCTACCCGTTTTTATTAAGCATATTTTTATTCGCTAATAAGCATATTTTATTACATTGGCGTCCAACAGCATAAAATTTTTTTTTGTTACATTACCCTCACTCAAACGTACATGGTGTTTTATCGACACTACGGCATGATTAATTTCTGTGCCTTACAACAAGCCAATATCAGAAGTTCTTGTTTACTTTTATCTTTTGACTGATAAAGGTAGGCATGAAAATCTATTACTTGCTTCATCGTGAGTGTGGTACGATAATATGTCAATCCGGCTGGTCCGATATGATAAAAATTTTGAAAGGCCGGTAGTGCTTTTGGTGTATTTATGGAACAATACAACTCTTTTAATAAACTTTTCTGTAGCCCTATCCAACGTTAAAACGCAAAAAACAAGTAAAACAAGTAAAAAATCAAATTATTGTCGCAAAAGTCCTAAATCATAAATTTTAATTACATAGTGAGTTTATACATTCCTTTTATGTGTTTCTGACTGAAGAAATTTTTTGCATCCTTTTTCCCTATGGACTAGGTTTAACAAAACAACCATTTTCACTTACTAACTCCATAAAAATAAAAATAGCTGTTCCTAATTCGTAAAAAATACAACTGTTTAATCGCTCGAATCATTATAAACAACTGAAAATTTGTTTCTTCACCACAGCTATTGTAGTAGTGTGTTCGTCACGTGAACCAACCAGCAAATTTCACTGGTGGTAGAGCAAACAGCGAGTTTTGTAGGTAAACATTCAAAGCAAAGAGCGAGTTTTGCAAATAAATATAATTTTCTCGACAGCATTTATATGCTAGAGAACGAGTTTTAGGAAATTCTGATTATATCCTATTCGATTCCTATTTAAAATTAAAATAAACTTCCTGACATTCCATCGAATAAATGGCCTCATAATATGCACATTAAATGTTTTTTATTCAGAAACCAGGCGCATCCACCATAATGGATATTAGCGCCGACTACAGTAGAGTAATACAGTAAACTTCACAAGGGGGCCTTTGGTGTAGATATTTCTAAAGGGCAAACGAACAAGTGGAAAAAGCTATGGTTTTCTCAAAAAATATTGATTTAGATACAAACATTTCCATGAAAAACCAAAAAAATATATTTTCCGCAAATCGCCAGGAAATTTTGACATTCCTGTCAAAATTTCTTGAAGAAAAAGTCAGGACTTCCTTACTGTAAGGAAATGTCATTTCCTTACTGTAAGGAAATGATATTTCCGTACAGTTGTTAGTGTTCTACATAAATTAAATTTATAAGCGTCAAGTTTGACAATTCAACCTCAATACGTTTCCATAGTAACCCAAGTAATTTTATTAGGAATTTCAAAGCACCATTTATTTGGGAATAAAATTATCGCGTTTTTTTTTAAATCAATCAATATCTGTCAAATTTTAAACGATTTGCGGAGAAATAGTATGTTTACCTCGTAGGAAAAGCCACATTCCTAGACTCTGTGTTGCTAAGTCTCGGCTTGCGCCTCGACTTAGCAATCTTCACAGTCGTCC